ACAAGGCGAAACAACGATAGTGAAAACACGATACCACGATGGTAAAAACCCGAAGCCAATATGAAAACATGATACCATGATGGTAAAAACCCGAAGCCACGATGAAAACACGATACCACGATGGTAAAAACCCGAAGACACGATGAAAATACGATACAACAAAACCTGAAGCCACGATGAAAACACGATACCACGATGGTAAAAACCCGAAGACACGATGAAAATACGATAGAACAAAACCCGAAGCAACGATGAAAACATGATACTTTGGTGGTGAAAACATGATACCTGTACACATGATACGTGTACTACTATGATGAAAACATGAAACGCCAATGATGAACACGAAACAAGGATGGCGCGTTTTCACCATCGTAGTTTAGTATTTTTCAATAGCATTGTCTCACCATCGTAGTATCGTTGCTACATTGTAAGATATGCGGTGATTACCCTAACGGGACACCGTACTCAGTGTATGCTTACCATAACATCACAGCGACTTTTGCGTAACTGCTTTGGTACGGAAGCTTGTATGTACCTATGGAAACGTATATGGTACACCCTGATGATGTCATTTCACGTTAAGATGTGTTCTTGAAGGACGTACGGAAGCTTCAAAGGGTCACCTCTTACGCGATCTTTTATGAGAAGATTAACGAAAGTCGAAAGAATTAAGGTGCAAAGGCATGATATCTTTAGTGTTTTCGCAAAAAATAATTCGAATAAACGAGAAGATTTGAGTTAATTGGCCAATTTTTTTCTTGCAAAAACAGAAACATTACACATAACGATTAATATTTTGGTGAAAAATTAATAAAAGGTGTTTTTCGAAAAAAATGAAGGGGCAATACATGATGCATTTCACTTTCTCGAAAAAGATTATGACGCAATACCTAATTCATTTCACCTTTTCGCATGAACTTTTGATGCATTACCATAATACATTTAATTTGATGAAAAAAAGTTTGCGCAATGCCTAAAGTGTATTCCGCTTTTCGTTTTAAATTTTTAGATAGTCTTCCATTTTGCATACGGTGGCTTATTATTTCGTTAAATAAGTTTTAATAAAATTGTGATATTCAAGACTTCAGCAGGCAGCGTATTTGTTGAAGTCATGGAGAAAGTTCTAACAGTATTGGTATGATGTTATAATTTTTATCATCATCATTAGTAGTAGTATTACAATAAGTTGTAATAGGAGTTGTAGAAGTGGCGTTGCTGGCGGCGGTGGTTGTAGCAGCCCAGCAAGTATCAGTCTAAGTAGGTACATGTCGTAGTACACGCTTTGTTAGATTCTCACTCATTTGGCTTTTCATGATAGCTTATTTCATTGTCAGTGATTTACGGTTGCCATTCCCTACCTCATTTTGCATTTTAATCCACGGAAACAAATTCTTAAACAGGAGCTGTCACTGATGTGACTTATGCCCCCGATAGGAAGCTCTGGCATAAAATCTTCAATATATGCCAAAATACTGGTTATATATGGCCGACCTCCTTTGATAAATATCATTCCTATAATAGTCTAAACAATTTTTACTTAAAATCATCATTAAGGGCCCATAACTGTGCGAAAAAAAAAATCATGTACAAAATCATGGCACAATGCACAACTAGACTTGGCATGCAAACAATTTTATAAATGCTCACTGAAATTTTCCAAGTGGCAAAGTTAATTTACTGAAATCAGGAACTATTCACAACTAGGCTTGGTGGCAAACAATTCTGTGAATAACCCCCCCCCCCACCTCTGTTTTGGTGATGAAGCGCGGACAAGCTTATTTTACTCAAAAAATGAACACTAAGGGGCTATAACTGTCCCAAAATAGATTCAAGCGGAAAATCAAGATACTATATGTAAAACTAGACATAGTGACAAACAATCCTCTGAAGTTTCACTAAAATCACCCATCAGTTTATTTGATGAAGCGCTGACAAGCTTATTTCACTCGACAAATGGCGTTGAGGGGCTATCACTGTCCCAAAAAAGAATCAAGCTGAAAATCTAGATTATATGCACAATTAGGCATAGTGACAAACATTCCTGTGAAGTGTCACTGGAATCACCCATCAGTTTTCTTGATAAAGCACAGACAAGCTTATTTTACTCGAAAAATGACCAGAAAGGGGCCATTTCTGTGCAAAAAAAAGATTCAAGAGGAAAATCAATAAAGTATGCACAACTAGACTTGGTGACAAACAATTCTGTGAAGTTTCACTGAAATCGCCCCACAAAGCGCGGACATGATTATCGGACAAACGTTTGGAAGGGCGGACAGAGGGACAGTGCGATTACTATATGCCGACCTTCGGGGGCATAAAAATGCTAAAACGACAAAATAACTATGTTACTCCAATTTATTTGTTCATCCAGACTTAACAGTGTTCTTAAATTACCTTAAAATTTGTGTGGGCCCCCTCCCTAAAAAATGGTTTAAAATGATTGTAAGCATGCAATAACGGGATAAACACTTACCAAACACAGCATTTTTAGGAATCTTAATTAACCTTAGTATTTACTTCAGAAAAAAGAATGCATAATTATCAATATATATGATATTATTAAAAGTAAAATCAAAGTAATTAATATACTAGTTGTATTGCGACTGGCAATAGTAACCAATGAAGTACTTAACAAAGCATATCTATGTTTCATTATAAAGAATTTAATTGCCAGTAAAATGTCATATTAAAAAAATTCCATATGGAGGTTTTGCCAAACGTGTTTATTGAGGTAAGTATTGAAAATAATACAAAATTCAATAAAACAAAGTTATGTAATATCATCACTAATATGTTTACCTTTCAAGGTCATACCGATATCAAGGTCAAATTTCATAATGTGTTAGCTCACCTGCCACGTAACAAGATGAGCTTTTGTGGTCAATTTTCCATCGTTAAAATGTTATGGAATCGAAATGTGTTAATTTCCCTAAAATTATTTCATTTATGTACATATATCTGATAGTTTGTAAGGTAACGATAGATTAAGAATATCGAAACATATCTAATGTCAATTTGTCACATTTGTAGAGGTATTTAATTAAAACGGAAAGATATTGTTTTCAAACTTTTTATGGTGATAATATGTTACAGACTAGAGTTATCTTTTAATGTGAAGAATAACCAATTTTGTTTCCCTTGACATACTAAACTTACTTTTTATTAATACATAAGTCAATCAAATAAAGATTATAGTTTGTAAGCATTTCAAAGCAACCTAAGTCTTGTAGATTTTACCTAGAGGTATACCAGAGCTTAACTGAACGCTTAATTTGTCAAACCTGTCCAGCCAACGTATTGCTCAGCTGAAAATCTAATTATGACATTCTAAGGTATTTCTTTATGTTTGGAAGGCCCAATAATTTAATATGGGGAAAAAAAGACACGTAACAGGAAATGGTAGGAACGACTTCTGCATGTCCACAATAAAACATTTTAAATTAGCATTTAGTATACATATATAGCTTTGTTTATAAAGTCACCGTAATAAGACGAAATTATTTGCAAAACTTTTTTTACTAAACAAAGACAGTTCATTTCTTACGATGAATGCTTTCACTGTTGCATATTTACCCTTTAGACACCTGAAACTATCAAAGTTTCCCCGAGCTTTGAATGTGCTTGGTTTGCAAACAGTTTTTTATTTATAATTTATAGCACTGACGGATTGAAAGGTCAAAAACTATATGCCCCTTCTGGAGGATAAAATAACAAAGGAAAACACCATGTCTTACACATCTGTCACACGAAAAGACTGTCAATGTCAAATGGTGGTAAAAGTCACATGTTAGTTTTTAAATTGAATTTAATGTAGGTCGCCTTTTGGAAAATAAAAACGCTCTGCACAAATGTCATCGGAAGTCACTAGAAACTTTACAGTGCAGACAGCCCCTCATGTTGCTCCAGAAATAACAATATTGTGGCGCCCTGCAGCCACCCGAAGCACCAGTCGCACACAACAGAACACCTCTAGTACTTAGACTGCCAGGTAGTTAACGTTAGTCTGCTATGTGTTGTTTTCCTTTGAAACCGATGAACCATATCTCTTCATAGTATGAGAAAGGCATTTTTGATACATAACATTATTCTTAAACTATTTTGTGGCTATATGATATGTATTCCCTCCTTGCTTAGCCACTGGACAGCTCGACTGCTAACTTTAAGGCTGCTTCTTACGCAAATATATATCGAAAGGAAAACAAAACATGACCACAAGCTGAGTGAACAGGGTCAATTATATGTCAAATTCAGATTTATGAATCAAATCGATCTATAAATAAAATTATGGACCATTTAGGACAAATTAAAACAAGAGTCATCGCCGGGCGGGGCAACTCTCGACTTTTTACTTTTTCTGAAAGCAAACAAAGAAATGTTTTAACAAATCTTAACGTTTCCTTTTTATAATTTTGTTTGTATGAATCCTGTCCGTATATATCCGCATGTGTATTACAGTAGAAAATATGTATGTATGTATGTATGTATGTATGTATGTATGTACGTATGTACGTACGTACGTACGTACCAATAAATATATTTGGTAATAAGTTATGTTATAAGCATGTGTGGAGGTCACTGTCAAAGACTAGGCTTATAATTTTATCATCGATTTTACTAAATAATGGCCCTTTGTTAAAAGTTTGTGAACTTTTTTTTTCTTAAGGATTATGCATGAAGTTCTCTAATTAAGGTCCACAATCATTGCATGGATTTTGACTTATTTATGATCATTTTCAACATACAACAATGTATGGTTAAAATTGTGTATTAAATGAAACAAAACTTAATTCATGTCTTGAAATTAAAATTCCTTACAAAGACCCATAACCGTGACATGGATTTTAACTGAAAAATGCCCATTTGAACAGAATTAAATAAAAGCTTGTTCACAAAATTACAAAAGCTCATGAGTGATGGTATATCTTGTCTTAAATCAAAAGACACCTTCAACTTAACATTTTCTTATCTTATTAATAAAGTTATTAATTGACATTGTACTAACAAACTTTAACTAATTTGGCAACGGCTACAGGCTATAATTCCGTAGGCGTACAAATAATCTGCAAACAAACCGACAAGTATGAGCCATTTTCGTTAAAAAAAATATTCTTAAAAAGGCCTTAAACTTAATGAAAAAGATAGAATTGTAATGTTTTCATTAGTTTAAAGCTATTATAACTTTTTTCTCTCCCATCACCTCGCCCCCCGTCCCTTAAAGAAGAAAAGTTGCAGAATAAAATTAAGCGGGCAGAAACTGTAGTGATAAATTTTTGCCATATAAAAATATTGGTAATTTATTTTACACACTAATCGAGATAGACTGCGTAGTCGAGTGGTTAGAGTCGCGGACTGCCAACCCGATAGTCAGGGGTTCGATTCTCGCGATTGTCATGTTTTTTTTTCCTTACAATTTTTTTAAAGATAACTTCTTATTAATATTACTTAATGAGACTTTAAATAGCTATTTCTGCATCTTTTTACAGGAGCTGGATGATCTTCTGTCATGTTTCGGTTTATCGCATCAGGCAGACACGTAGTCTTCAGTAGCCATTAGAAATGAAAGTGAAAATGAAGTTATAGAGGCACCAGATATATCCATTGAGTCACGTCTCAACAGATATTTTACAGCTAGTCTTGTTTTGGATCCTGTTAATGCAGACAATCAAGGTAATGCTGACATTAACCAAAATAGAGATGATCGGATCCGCAGAGCGACATTGATAATTTGAAACTCATTTATGACAGTGGCTGTAAATGTTCAAAAAACTGCTTCAGTAACTTATCCTTTCCTCAGATCGAAGCAAATATTCTTAATCTTAGGGAAATGACAAAAAATGAGAAGGAAATGCTAATAATGGGCACTCTTAAAAAGATAAGCTCTGACATAAGATGTAAAGAAGATCGCAAACGCTCCCGTTATGAATATTTTTTTGATGGAGAAAAAGTGTGCCTTGAAACCTTTCTGGTTGTCTTTGATATAAAAGACAGGCAACTGAGAAATATCAAACACCATATGGAAGAACACGGTGCTCAACCACGTGTTCACGGTCATACAGGAAGACGAGCTCCAAATGCATTTCCTCCAGACGTTATTAAAGATGCAGTTCAGTATATACTGAGTTACGCCAATGAGGAGGGATTGCCTCAGCCTGCAGCACTAAGGGGGAGGGATGATGAGGCTCCTATATATTTACCGTCGTCTGATACAAAACATTCAGTACACAGTGACTACGTTACACGCTGTACGGAAGTTGGGAAGCGGTATGTTGGTTTATCAACATTTAAAGATATCTGGAAAAATTGTGTGCCCCATATAAAAATAGCCTCGCCGAAAGAGGATGTGTGTAAAGCCTGTGAGGACTGTAAACAGGATATTAAGCTTGCCCAGAGTGAAAACGACAAGATAGAGGCAACCTTGAAATACCATCAACATGTGCTGCAGGCAAGAAAGGAACGTGACCTATACATGGAACTTGTAGAAAAATCAAAAGCAATGTTTGTAAACCGGGAACAACACAACCAGGCTGCTGGGGATAACTTTTCTACAAATGACGTACATTATACATTTGACTTCAGTCAGTATGTTAAGTTGCCACACCATGCGCAAGAAAAGGGACCCACATTTTTCATTCAGCCGAGAAAAGTGCAGGTAGGACTTTCAATCTACTTATGCTAATTATTTATTTTTCATGTATATATACTTTTTCGTTTATTTTACAATTACTATAAACGAGAAAATTACGTGTTAATACCATAGTTTTTAGAAAATAAATTTTCTTTCCCTTTTCAAAATAAATACTTTAAATATTTTTTCTATGCAGTAAATGTTTCTTTCTGTATCTTCTGATATTTGGTTTCCGAGCCGATGGCTACAAACAATACAATTATCTCATAGACGAGGACCAAACCATTGGTAATTAAAACAGTTTCGGCATTTTTGTATAATGAAAAAATACTAGATAAATTATTATCCAGTATGTGCATGAGTAGCATACAGTAAGTTTTATGTAACTGTAATGCATTCAGTATCTGTTTCAGCAACATTTCAAATAAAATAGGATTGAATCTCATCGTGTCTTCTAAATTACAACATATTATTTCAAATATCAAGTTTATGTGTCATTTTTCTTTTTGTTTTAGGTCCAGATGGCACACTTGTACATGGACCAGACTCGGTCATCTCAATGATAGACCATGCCTTCAACACGTTTGGTACCGGAGAGAGTGATTGTGGGATTCACGCAGATAATTGTTTTGGTAGTTATTTCACATCTCGAGTTCACTTTTAACTTATAACTGTGTCAGTTTGAACTATGCCATACAAAGTGCCGGCGTCAAATAGTACCTTTAAATTGAACTTTTTAGTATTCTTTTTTTCTCTAAAATGTAGATATACATGTATTGAGAAATAATAGAGTTAATCAGTTTACTATAGGATATTAGAATAACATGATGTAATTTTACATTTTTGATTATTTTTTTTTAATTTTATTTTATTTGATTTTCTCAATTCTTATAAATACATGAAGGTAAATCTTTTCCTAAGGTCAGAATAAGAATAGATTCGTACTAGCCTACCTGTCATGGCGTACGATGATTGGATCGCATAGAAATATTAAATACATGATGCAGTTACCAGGACACACAAGGTAATTTTGAATTGTTCTATTAAATGGTTAACAAGAATTTCGTTAATTATTTAGAAAAGATATTAGTTACGCCGATGTAAATATACTATATTAAGCCCCAATGAGGACGAGAACTTGATTTTTTAAACATGTTTTCTTAATCTCTGCCTGTAAATTCATGTAAATAAATATGAAAAATAATTGATAAGGACATGCAAATCACGAGTTCAGGCTCTTATATAAAATTGACGGGAAAAGGTTCAATTTCTGTAAAATATTTTTACGGCATAAGCTATTTGACGGTGTCGGTGAAATGATGCGAATGAATGACAAATTCACTGCTGATCAAATCTTTATCCTCATTAATATTATTAAGTCATAGGTAAAGTTCTCAAGAATATGAGCTTTACCTCACACATATATTTGTTTTTCATTTTAACTTTATAAATACAGGTGCTTGATCGACGCCGGATTTGGAACGATAAATTAAAGAAGTTGTATCGGCGTTCAAATTGTGATACTCTCCAACACGTGACGGAAGTAGTACAAAAGTCAGCACACAGTAACGTTCCCGTTACTTATGGTGAATGGATGTGGAAAGGCTGGAAGATGTTCCTCGGGGACAGATTCAAAAAAGTACCGAATGCAATTCAAAGAGCCATAACTAACTCTGCCTTGCCTAATTTTGGAGTTATTGCCCTTTGGTGAATTCTTTTTACTTTGAACTTTGTGACATAGCTCTGAAACCATAAGAGGTTTGTAGGTAGATTGATCTCATTAAAAAGAAGTGCAGCACAAAGGAACCTTAACTCTGTCTTGCTTAATTTTGGAGTTATTGTCCTTTGTTCATTTTTACACTTTGAACTTTATCAGGAACATTACTCTGACACTTTAAGAGGTATATTTTTCTGTGTTTAAAACCTACTCGGGGAGCATCAATCGGTTCTTGTCAAGAGTCTTGGGGCATTACTTTCATATTGTATATAGAAAAATGGGACTTATTCTGCGTTGAATGGAGTAATGACATCAGCTTGGAACACCTTTACTATTCTCGATCTTGCAACAACTTGCACCCAATCAGTGCTTTCGGCATACGTTATTTTTTATTACCTAAGTTATATGTATATGTATTTCAGATATGGTTATGCCTGATACGTCTTCCAATCGAATGGGCTTTCAAACGATGAAAGTGATGTTGCGATTAACTACGGAAAAGGTTATACAATTAAAGAAATATGTGGCTTTCTGCTATTTTCACATAATACCATAGTGAGTCTTCGTCAGTTGTAACAAATCCTAAAACGTTTACGACTCCAAAGGCGGAATATGCAGATTTTGTTACCAGATGTAATAAGTGCTTTGATCATGAAAGGGTTTCGGTGAATGTGTATACAGGACAGTCTGGAAACTGATCAAATCTTCAACAACTGTACATGTGACACAAGATGAGAATTAGTGACCCCGAAGATGTGAATTTGAGAGCTCGTCACTGTCACGGCGCAGAACGTACACCAATAGAGGACCAAATTATGCTATACATCTAAATGGAAATGACAAACTTAAACCCTTTGGAAATGGCATACCTACATGGAATTAGACGTCAAAGAATTCTGAGGCCCAAAGTGGTATTCCTGATGTTTTGTATCACCAGCCAGAAGTGTTTCATTCGTTCGATCATTCGCTTCCGGTAACCATGCAATGTTGAAGTGATAACTCGTATACAAAATGACTATGCAAAAGCCAAGCCCAAATTTGGATGCAAAGACGAATTCTTGCCAATTCTAGAAGAGGTGTGTGGTTTACCAATTGACCAATTACAAAGGCCGAAAACGGTCGACTTTGCGACTGATTTATTTTGTGCTCTTACAGAAATAACAAGATATGTTTGTAAAACATGTATGCCCCCTATCAGCAGCCAAATAGTCATGTGATAAGGTTATTATGCATGACTTCTGACCCAGTGATCAAACAATTAATAAGGGTTATAAAGTATCTACTGGTCATGACCTTGACCTTTGACCCCTTGACCCAAAACTCAATAGGGGTCATCTGCTGGTCACGACCAATCATCATACAAAGTTTGAAGTTCCTAGGCCTAGGTGTTTTTAGTAAATTGATCAGAAACCGTTTTTACCTACAAGGTCAATGTGACCTTGACCTTTGACCCCTTGACCCCAAAATCAATAGGGGTCATCTACTGATCATGACCAATCACCATACCAAGTTTGAAGTTCCTAGGCCTTAAGGTTCTTTAGTTATTGATCAGAAACCGTTTTTGCTTTTAAGGTCAATGTGACCTTGACCTTTGACCCCTTGACCCCAAAATCAATAGGGGTCATCTACTTATCATGACCAATCACCATACCAAGTTTGAAGTTCATAGGCCTTAAGGTTCTTTAGTTATTGATCGGAAACCGTTTTTGCTTTTAAGGTCAATGTGACCTTGACCTTTGACCCCTTGACCCCAAAATCAATAGGGGTCATCTACTGGTCATGACTAATCACCATACCAAGTTTGAAGTTCCTAGGCCTTAAGGTTCTTTAGTTATTGATCGGAAACCGTTTTTGCTTTTAAGGTCAATGTGACCTTGACCTTTGACCCCTTGACCCCAAAATCAATAGGGGTCATCTACTGGTCATGACTAATCACCATACCAAGTTTGAAGTTCCTAGGCCTTAAGGTTCTTTAGTTATTGATCGGAAACCGTTTTTGCTTTCAAGGTCAATGTGACCTTGACCTTTGACCCCTTGACCCCAAAATCAATAGGGGTCATCTACTGGTCATGACCAATCACCATACCAAGTTTGAAGTTCCTAGGCCTTAAGGTTCTTTAGTTATTGATCGGAAACCGTTTTTGCTTTCAAGGTCAATGTGACCTTGACCTTTGACCCCTTGACCCCAAAATCAATAGGGGTCATCTACTGGTCATGACCAATCACAATACCAAGTTTGAAGTTCCTAGGCCTTAAGGTTCTTTAGTTATTGATCGGAAACCGTTTTTGCTTTCAAGGTCAATGTGACCTTGACCTTTGACCCCTTGACCCCAAAATCAATAGGGGTCATCTACTGGTCATGACCAATCACCATACCAAGTTTGAAGTTCCTAGGCCTAAGGGTTCTTTAGTTATCACTCGGAAACCATTTGGTCTACGGACCGACGGACCGACAAGTGCAAAGCAATATACCCCCTTTTTTTCAAAATGGGGGCATAATTAATGACTTTTGATTGAATGGCGATATTTTCTGATGTGTTTGATAAAAATTTTTCCCACAGTTGTGAAACTTTTACCAGACTTATGTTAGTTTATGTATTTGAGTACACATTGTTTACAACAATTGGAATCTATATATAAATGACAAATGAATAAAACATTGGCTGTTTACATGAACAATGTCTTGACTTATTAGCTCGCATGCACCATAGGTGAAAAAAGAGCTTTTGTTATACCATTTAATCTTTTGTTTGTCCGACTATAAGCCCGTCTTTTGTTTCTTTAGTGAACAGTTTGCTTTAATTTTCACAAAACCTGGTCAGAAGTTCTCAATGCAATCCAGCTAAAGTTGGACAATAGGTCATGCCGGGTCAAGGTCACAGTGACCTCAGAAATTTGGATTGTGAGAACCCTAGTGGTTTCATTTTTCTTTCATGTTTCTTATTGCTGGTCATTAAAAACTTGAATGTCAATTTCGTACAAACTCTTGATTAATACATCCTTGATCTTGCAGCGTAAGTAGAATTATTTTACAGGGCTTTGTTTGAAGCATTAACAATGACATTGATTTACTGCCCTATAATGGGTTTGCCCATATACACACATAGTGCAAGTTTTTGGGCTCTACTCATCAATTATTTATTGGCCCATTTCAATTTTCTTCCTTGCTTCGCGATAAACATGGATACCTTGTTGCCCAAAAAGGAATAAATATTTCAATTTTTGTATCTGTTGACCATAATTTTGCTGTAGTACGCATTGATTTAACTTAAATGTTTTTGATGCATTGTACTTTCAAAAGGAGAAATACTAAATTAAATTTAGAATTTTCAGACTTTAATTATCTTCATGGCACTGTGTGCATAAAGATCCATGCAAGTCTTTAATCTGGTTTCACAATGACACGTTGCAAACCATGTTTCAGATGAACATCTTTTCTATTCAGAGATTCACATCAATTGTGGATGGACATTGCCATTTTTGAAGAAAACCTTTACAGGATAAGAAAGAGAGAAAGCTCATAATCAATCATTAATCTTTATTATTTTCATGAAAAAAAAATCAAATATTTGTAATTACTCTAAACTTGGACAAAAAATAACTGCAAGAGGACCCCGAGGGTCCTGGGCTACTCCCCTGAGAACATCATTCACAAAGATTTTCTTATATTTGACATGGGGACCTGGCTTTTGACCTCATGTGACCAAGATTGAAATCTCATATAGATTTTGACATGAGGAAAATTGTGACCTTGATTCACCCAGATTAGACCAGAATTGCGACTTTTTGCATGCAGACACGCTATGTCTAATATTTGCCAAGGTGACCTAGATTTATAACAAACAAGATCCATATTTAAACTTTTTCTAGATATTGACATGACAAAATTGTGACCAAACCTCACCAAGATTGGACTATTGTTGTGGCTACTAAAGTGATAACAAGATTTTGCCAATATTTGACCTTCTGCCTTAGTTTTATTCCAACATGACCCACATTTGAACTTGGCCTAGATATTGTCTAGACAAAAATGGTATCTAAGTTTTATCAACATTCGACTAAAAATAGGACTTTTAGAGTATAAACATGCTCTTTCTAAGATCTAGTCTTGTGAACTAGTTTTTTATCCCGCATAACCCAGATTCAAACTTGGCCTAGATATTGTTTAGAGTAATGCCCCAGACAAGGGAAATGCGATGCCCCTGCCACTGACGCAAGTGCTACTTACTACAGTCTGGTGATACAAAAAATGTACAAAACATAAATGTAAGGATTTTGGTACATGTTCCACACATGTGTTACTTGGTTGCTATGACAATGTATAATAAACAGTTGCCGAACAAAATATTTAATACTTTTATCAACAATTTAAACACCAAACTTTTTAAACAAAATGTTTTCCGACACATAATAAAGCTGTTAGAAATGAATTGATCAACAAATATTTGGAATTAAATTGATGAACAAATACATCAGCACAAGGTGCTAAATAATTAGTACTTTTTCCCAGCAAAACATACAAAATTCACCAATTCAAAATCCATAACTGCACTAATACAAGGTAATGCAAAAAATGTTCATTTGCACAGAAGAAACAAGTAAACAGTTGCAGTTCAAAAGATACTTTTAATCAAAGTATTTACTAAAAAACACCAACGAAACAAGAACTGTCACTGAAAAGTGACTTATGCCCCCCCCCCCCCCCCAAAAAAAGAGAATGCTTTGACACAACATGCCAAATATTTGCCAAAATACCAATGATATACACCCGACCGCCTTTGATAAATATCATTCCTAAAATTTCAATTAGAAGTGTAAGAGAAATAGGTTAATTTTTAATAAAAGAAGCTTATTTACTACAAAATTGAACAGTAAGAGGCCAAAACTGTGCAAAAAATAATCAAGTGGAAAATCAAGGGAGTATGCACAACTATGCTTGGTAGCAAACAATCCTGTGAAGTTTTTCTGAAATCCCCCCCCCCATGGGTTTTGGAGATGAAGCAAGGACAAGCTTATTTTACTTGAAAATTAAGCATTAAGGGGCCATAACTGTACCAAACAAAAATTAAAGCAGAAAAAAGTATGCATGTTTGCACAACTAGGCATGGGGCATGGTGACAAACAATCCTGTGAAGTTTCACCAAAATCCTCCCAGCAGTTTTGGAGATGAAGCGAGGACAAGCTTATTTTACTCGAAAATTAAGCATTACATGTTTAAAGTAGCATAAAAGATATTTTTGAACTGATTTAACTGGTGTTATTTGATGACAACAAAAGACAAACTGGCATTATTTGATGACAACAAATGACACGGACAACAAGACACTAGCAAAATATAAATATGAAAGTCCTGTATTTTATAAATTGGCATCATCAGCAAGAAGTATTTTGCCAAAAATCATATACATCATGATTGGTACAATAGTTCAAGTAGTTGAGAAAAAAACACATACACAAAAACAATGCAACAAAAAATTATTGATCAACTCATCAATTTTTGACAAATATTCTTATACTAAGTTTAAAAGCATGACATAAGAAACTAGCAAATTTTAAGCTAGACGAGAAACAGATGGCCTGTCTATATATGTTAGGACACCAAAATGTTATGACAGGACAGCTTAGTTGGTATTTCAACATGAGCTGTCCGTAAGACAGCGCGCTCGACTTTTTTATTGCTTGCCAATAAAAAAAGTTTTTGCAGTAAAAGGCAATACAAGAATCTCTGTATTTTTAAAGTGAACAATGGCCATGAGCATTAAGATATTTAGTGAAGAATTATTTTATTATGACATAATTTATGGTAAAGTGAACAAGTGGATAGGAATGAATTTTTTTAGATTTTTTAAGTTTTTTAGTGCTTGCCTATAATACAAAACATTGACAGTTAAGGGCCATAATTCAAATAAAATCTTTGACAGAATTACCTTCTCCTGGACATGTTTGGGAATCATGATTGTAAACAAGTATTCCAACTTTCAAATTAATATCTCAAACAGTTCAGTCAAAAAGTGGACTGGTACTAAAAACTTAACCAAGATTCTAAGTCGATAAAAAGGCCTTAATTTTTAAAACAAATCCTTGACAGAGTTACCTTCTCTTGCGTACAGATGGGGGTAATGATGTGAAATAGCATTAAAAGTTTCAAAGCAATATCTCAAAGGGTTAAGGCAATAAGTGGATTTTACCCATATTCAATGTATTTTCTAAGTCAAAAAGGGGCATAATTCTGTCAAAAACCTTGACAGAGTTATGTCCTCTTGTCTGTTGATGAAGGTCGTGATGGTAAACAAGTATGGTCAGTTTCAAAAGCAAACCTCCAATGGTTTTGAAATAAAGTGAGGTGGTACAAAAAACTTAACCAAGCTCAATACACTTTCTAAGTCAAAAAAGGGCCATAATTCTGTCAAAAACCTTGACAGAGTTATGTACTCTTGTCTGTAGATGGAGGTTATGATGGTGAACAAGTATGGTAAGTTTCAAAGCCATACTTGTAATACTTCTGAAATAAAGTGGGGTGGTACGAAAAACTTAACCAAGGTGTGACGCCAACGCCGACGCCGACGCCGGGGCGAGTAGGATAGCTCCCCTTTTCATAGAAAAGTCGAGCTAAAAACTGTTTTGCAATAAATGACCTTATAAAGTAAGAACACAGATGGCTGTTGATTAAAAAGATTTTTTTTTAATATTCACAAGGCCTTAATTTTAAAATGACAAGAGCTCAAATTTTCTAACTGCTTATCATGACACATCATTTCGTCATGGTTATCATGTGCCAAATTTGTTCAAATCCTT